GATGGAGGATGAGGAGGGGGGAGAAGGGGCCGATTATGTATGCACGAGGGTGGAAAGAGGATGCTGGCCAGCTGCGGCGTCCACCCTCCCCCCCCATCTTAGCGATATAAATAAATATATGTATTTATGTATATATGTATGTATGTTATTCTGTATCTTTCTCACAATGGACGCAACATCTCTCCATCGCTAGCCTGGAAAGAAGGGGCAGCTGAGCGAATACAAAGGGTAGTCGATGAGATTATTTTGGGGCGGGGGAGGAAGAGGAGAGGTGTCATTCGAATGAAACGCACCCCCCCCCCTCAATTTACCAGTCGTTTCCGTGCCAGGAATTCTGCACCGGCCAAAGCCTGCTTGGGAAGATCGCCGTGTGTGCGGTGCCTCTGGAGGAAGCCATAGCATCGTTGCTTGTGTGGATTGATCCTTAATTGTCTATTTTGTTGTTTAGGTTCTGCATAGTCAGGTGCTGCCTTTTTCTGCTGGGCCCAGGGTGCCGAGCAAAAGGCAGCCCTCCCTTCCTCTTCCTCATCCTAAATAATAATAATAAAAAGGGATGCCATCCCTGGGCCAGAACTCCATCCCAGTGGAATTGGTTGGTAGTGAAGGCATGTCAAGGAGGAGGAGGCAGGATCATGCCTGGCGGTAGTTTCTCTCTCTCTCAAGCAAATATTTACATTGACATTATAATGGGTGCGTTTTTTTATATATATCCATTGTGAGTACTGTTAGTTTGGGTCGGGGGCAGAGAAGGAGAGACAGATTGTATACATTGTACATATTTTATACATGATGCTTTATATAAATATGTTATTTCTATTTAAGAATATAAGGGCAGAAAAGAAATAAAAAGATGGCAGAGCAGGATGGAATGGGAAGCAATGCTCAGTGCCCTGCTAAGCCCTGGACCTCTGAACTCAGCATTTTGATCCCAGAATGGTGGATTGTGCTTTTAGCAGGCATGGTGTCAAAAACAATGAAACATTGCCAAATACCCAGCCATTCACGTCCTGAAGGCCTTTCCCACCACAGTGGCAGGAATTCAGTCTCTGCTGATGATGCAGAAAGGCAGGAAGAAGTTCTTCCTTCCTTTTGTTGTCATATTTTGCAACAATAAAGCTCTAATGTTCACTTCCTTGGCTCACTCCCCTTTTACCTGCCATATTGGAGACAGTCAAGATAGTTGTTTGGGCAATGACAAATAACATCATGCTATCTCTAGTGCTAGAATTTGATTTTAGATATTCAAAGCAAAGCACACTGAATAATAATAGAAATACTGTATTATTATATTTCTTATATATAGTGAAGTATTATATTTCTATAATATTAGTAATATGTTTAATAATAACCCTTATATATAAGGATTATTATTAAACCTATTACTAATATTATAGAAATATAATACTCCACTATCTGATCATATCCATATCATCATTATTACTTTCTGTTTTATAGGACTATGTTAGTCTTGTAGAACCAAGTATTTAACAACAAATATATTTTCTCCTTATATTTCTATCATCATATGTATTGCATAAATCTGAAATAGAGATGAGAACATTGTTTTAGTAATAAATCCAACAATGGAATGAATTGTTGGGGGAGGGAATATATTCTTTTATAAAATGAGTTTTCTACAGTTTTTATTGGATTTCAAAGGAATGCAGTATTTCTTGATAAATTCCCAAGAGAATATTGGGCCACTATAATGGCCTTAAACATCTGGACTGCTTTTTAGTATGGGTGGCTCTGTCAGAGGATATTTTGGAGTTGCTAGGGCTATTGAATCTCTTCCTTTTTGTTTCTCATATTTGGAGTGTGAGATGTTTGATCTCAAAAATTCCAGTTTACAACAACAACAAGAAATGTAAAAGAACTAACTTTTTTTCCTCTTCCAAAACCATTCTATTAGTCTGGTAATAAATCATTGGAAAGTAGCTGTCTTCTATGGCTATAGGCCTCAACCTACAACCACCATCTATTTATTCTGGAGAAGTCATCCACATTTAAGGACTCCACCTATCCCTTTCCAGCTGCTGGTTATCACCTGAGCCAAAACATTTTGCATGCTGTGACTGCAGTTTAAATTTATTCTCTCAGATCCTGTCACCTTGCTGATTTCACTTTTTGTAAAATGAAGAGGCATGGCACTGTGAACTATCCTGAAGGCTACAATATTTCAAACAAACTAGTAATTTAAAACATCAAACTATATAATATTGTTGAAAACAAGCACTACAAAAGAGGCTAGCAGAAAACCCCAATATTGAAATACTAAAAAAACAATGACCCAAATTCTCTTATCTAGTTATGCTGGTGTAGCACAAACTAATGTAGCTTTTGGAGGCAAATTGCTCCATATTAAGAAATCATTGTACACATCATCAGTTGCATACACACCAGTATGATATAACTCTATATGCAATTGATATTGTCTCCTGTGATTTCTTAGGACTATTTGTCTCCAAATGTTATACCATTTGCATAGTTACACAAGATGATTTTGGTCAAGCTGTATTGTAGAAGATCTATATATGATGTGCCACAATTGAGAAGGCTTTCTTTCCATCTTCCATTTGTCTCATCTCACATGTTGCAGAACACCTGGAAGAGGGCCTCTGAGTATTATCTCAGTAACTGCATAGGCAGATAGATGTGGATGGTGATAGTCCGTTAGGCAAGAGATTGCAAATTGTCTAGGTTTTTCGGGCTAAGCATCAGCATTTTGAACTGGCCCATGGAAAGAACTGTGAGCCAATAGGAACAGTCTTTCTGTCCTAATTGGGAGGGTCCTTGGAATCCGCCCTCACATAAGATGTGTGGTAAAGGATGCAACTGCAGCATCCCTGACAAAAGACTATTCAGACTCTACGTTAGGCAAGAGATTGCAAATTGTCTAGGTTTTTCGGGCTAAGCATCAGCATTTTGAACTGGCCCATGGAAAGAACTGTGAGCCAATAGGAACAGTCTTTCTGTCCTAATTGGGAGGGTCCTTGGAATCCACCCTCACATAAGATGTGTGGTAAAGGATGCAACTGCAGCATCCCTGACAAAAGACTATCCAGCCTCTACATCAGTGGTTCCCAGACGTTCTTGGACTAAAACTCCTGGAAGTCTTCACCACTAGCTGTGCCAGGATTCCTGGAAGTTGTAGTGCAAGAACATCTGGAGACCCGAGGCTGGGAACCATTGTTCTAAAGGCAGGCCTAAGTACAGTGCATTGCAAAAGTCTGTCACAAAAGTTACCAAAACTGGGATAAAGGTAAACGTAAAGGTTCCCCTTGACATTTAGTCCAGTCGTGTCCGACTCTAGGATGCAGTGCTCATCCCCGTTTCTAAGCTGTAGAACCGCCATTTGTCTGTAGACAGTTTTCCGTGGTCACGTGGCTAGTGCAACTAGAATACAGAATACCTTTACCTTCCCACTGCGGTGGTACCTCTTTATCTACTCGCATATGCATGCTTTCGAACTGCTAGGTTGGCAGGAGCTGGGACAAGCGACAGGAACACACTCCATCATGTGGATTTGATCTTTAAAACTGGGATAGCTGTGGCCAAACTATCTCTGTCCAAGAGTTATTGAAAAAAACTGGTGAATGGTGCTCATTACACTGAGGTCATTTTGTCTTTTATCAGGAGAAGCAGATACCCTGTCATCTGAGTGAGGAGCTTTCTATGATAGGTTTGAATAGGTATGTGGCCAAGCACTTCAAAATATCTCTATTTCTACCCCATATTCATGGGGAAATAAATGGTTTCATGGCAGAAAAGAAGTGTATGGCATTTTTAAGTTTATGTATTACTATGATTGTTTTGTGTTAGAGGTAACTAGGTTCTTATGCTTTGTTATGGGGTGTGAAGAAGCTGAAAGGGAAGGTGGATGCTGTGTGTTTTGGTTCCAGTTAAATTCAGCAAATGTCTGTTAGCTCACACTGTTTCTTTTGTCAGTATTGGGCCTGAGGGACTTTCGGCTTCAGATTAAACTTACTTCTCCACTGAGATACCCTTTGTAGAATAATATTACACTGGCATGTTCTTGCACTGGCGTCAGATTTGTAGTGGTATACCTGTATCATTGATGCTTCCAGATCACTCCTGAGAATATCTCTCCAGTTGTACCACATCCTAAAGAGGAGGACTGCAGAACTCTTGGAACTTGCTCCATTTTCCCATCATCCCCAGGCAGCATGACTAAGTGGTGCAGGATGATGGGAGAAGTTGTTCATTAACACCTCCAGGACCAAACCTGGACCATGGAGTCCCAGCCATAATCATCTGTGCATAGGATTGCTATCCTGAGTGCTTGAAATGGTCAAACAAAGATCAAAACATATTTTGTGAAAATAATTCACTGTTTGTTAGCACATGGGTAAGGGGAAATATGAATATCTTTCTTTAGGTCATTGTTTTCCTTGCAAGCCAATACATTTTTCTAACACTCATATTTTTGGCCATGCTTCTTAGGGTATTCAAGGAGCTGGAACCCAAAAATGAAAGTAGCCCCATTTCTGCGAAAACATGATTTCTACCTTCTCTGATTAGTATTCTGTTTACTGATTGATTAGTGCCTGTGACATCAGTAACTATGAGTGATATAACCCCTCTCTTCTTGCTGGTCCCATCTCATATGTCTTTCAAGTATTTTATTATCTAATTACTTTTTTAAAGCAGCACCGACAACGAAGTACTAATCTAACTCCTTAAACAAGCTAAAAAGTGGCAGCTCTTTAAACAAGCTAAAAACTTTCCCCATTGGAAATCATGGATGTTCAATACTTCAACTGTCTTCCAAGTCCCTTCATTTCTTTGTACATGTGAACACATGTAGGGCATGGTTTGGTGTTCCACTTCACACTCGAGTTTGGAGACAAGGGTTGGGGAACTGTTGGTCCTCCAGATGTTCTTTTCTGAAATTCTCCAGATATGTAAGACAACTAGAGAGACAGTGGCAGAATTGCTGCCGTTGTGAAGCCCTGGTGACTTTCTGTCTGAGTCCTCTTAGAGACATGGTGAACCTAAGGTAGGGTTGTGCTTGGCAAATAAGTCTAAGTCATAGACAGAAATATATTTTCTGTTCAAACAGTGACTGCATTTTTGGGCCCCAACCCTTTGGCAGATTTGTGTATGTTATTCAAGAACTGTAAAGGCTTGTAGATTATATATTTTCTTCCTATGTTGGTGTCACCTTAACAGGGTCACCTAAGTACATTGTCTAACATTCCTCATGATTATTGCATGTAAATGCTATTACATAGTATGGGGAGTATTCACCTCAAAGTTACTTGCATACCCAGATTGTAAACATATAAATCATGCCTAGATGTATTTAGGAAAACAACCCAAACCAGACTCTGATGAAAAAGATTGTGGACTATGATCATATATGAAGTATGAAGATATTTTTTTTAAAAAAACCCCACCCCAAATAAATTTCTGTGGCACTTATATTAGCAGAAATAGTCTATCTTTGGTGAACATTTTTCAAGATCAGTGTACTGAGATCTATCAAAAGAAAGGGAAAAAATAGAAGAAGAAGAAGAAAGAAAAAATCCTTGCTGTAATAGTAGCCAGCAAATGTGATGGACCAATTTGCATACACATGACTCAGAATTTTAGCAGTATTCTGAAAATAAAAATGAGTTGATTACTAGTAATGACTAACATGGTCCTTAAAAATATATGAAGTGGCTTATTTCTTAACGAAGCTCGAAACCCTTATATCAAAAACCTGGTCTTTTGATGCTAACTACTGCTATATATATTGCACTGTTGTTGTGCCAATAGGTCTTTTTGTGAGTTCTAAATTATACCTGTGAAAATTAAGGCCAATTAAATTATTTCATAGTGAATCTAAAGCAGTAGTACAGAAGCTTCTACAGTCCAAGTTGTTTTGTGCTACAACTATCACCTGTCCCACCAGGAATGGGACTTGGGAGCTTTTCATTCTAAACATTAGGAGAGCGCAAAATTCCTCTGAGGGCTGGATCATTTACAGCCTCCAAAATCATATTCTATGTACAATATGAGGAGGCCACATCATGTACTTCAAGCATACACCTATTGAGGCCTACGCACACACAGCTCCTATGCCAATATGCTTTTTTATAGGAGCTCAGTTAATGTGAAATTGTATTTATGTGGTGAGGCTAAGAATGACTTCTGAATTTGTAAGAACTCGGCTGAAGGTAGCCATTTGAGGTTACTCAGAAGTTAAGAAAACAGCAAGTCAGAACTATGCGGAGTGAGTCAGGACTGTAAGACAAAGCAGTAACCAAAGCAAGCCATTAGTCATGGCTGATGGACAACCAACCAAATACACCAGAGCTCAGGAAGACCTTGTTGCTTAAAGTTTAACAGAATGGGAAACACTCCTCTGTTCCTTCCTGTCTAGGCAGATCCAGAAACCAGTCTGAGGATATTAAGCTGTCTATGAAACATGAGGTTTGGGACTCTTCCAGGTGAAAAGGTTCCCAGTTCTAGCCCCAATACCTCACCATTTGATAGGATCCCAATATCTCTAAGTGGTTGGGACTATTTGTGGTGTAATTAGGGTCTTCTCTGGCCTGAAGTCCAGTGACTATCTGCTGAAAATCGTGTTCATTTACAAAGACCCAAATAGGATTTGAGAAGATCATGTTATTCTGAGTCTACTTTTTAAAATATAATGATGCTTAAGTGATGCTTCTTCTGGGGAGAAGATGTTTAGTATTTGAGAATGTAAGTAACTGAGGCATTGAATTAAACAGTTCCTTTATCATTTGATTCATGCCTTCTGTCAGTGCCTGCCCTTCAGTTTGTAATTTGAGAAACACTTCCTATCACAGCTCTGTTCAGATGTTCCCACTGTGCATTTACTGACTTTATAGTGAGTACTCATCAGGAATTCTGAAAAACTGGGCTGTTAGTCACATGTACATTTGGGTATATACGCACATAAAGGCTTTTTGGGGCAGGACCCATGGATATGCAGATGTGCCCACTTTCATCTTATTGTACTTTGAGAACACATAAGGGTGAACACCTGAAGTTCTTTAATCAGACTTGGAATAATGGAGTGAATGGAGAATGAGAAGGTGTTTTGTCTTGGGGATGTTTTCCTTAGAAAGGTGGTATAAAATATTTTAAACAAATGAATGACCCTCTACTCTGTACTATATTAGTGATTTCAACTTCTGATTGTGCCTTTTAATTGTAATTTTATATTGTTTCATTCGTATTTTTGCACACATTGCTCTGAAAACATCAGGTGAGGGGTGAGTTATTCTTTTAAATAATGAATAAATACACATGTTTGCCAACAGATCCAAGTACTGCTATTACATACACTTCTTTCAATTATTCTGTGGCATTGCAAACAAAGCAACAAGAGCATTAAGAATGGATTTGCTTCTTTTGATTATTCTAGAACATCACAAGTCTTACAAAACAGCCATTTTAAACATCCCAAACATAAGGTGGAACTCTAAAATTCTTAAATATTTGAATATGTACATTCTGCATCCAATATTAAAATTACTTTGCACCCAGAAAACAAGAAATATTTTTAAAATGTAATGATATTTGCATAGTCCAATCAATGAACAATTGCAGCCTTTGACTTTTGGTAATGTCTGGACCAATTGGTTCAGCGTAGGAAACTCAAATGATTTGTATGCCATAATAAAATTAAATCAAACCCTCTATTACTTTTGAGGAAAAAATACTTTATGCAGTATCAAAAGCACTGTGAAAAAAACATTGGACTATTTTCACATCTGTTTTCATTATAGCCTTTTTTCCCCTAAGGTGTCATGACTTGAAGGAACTTATTCATTGTGCAATCCCAGGCAAAAAAGGATGTCATATATAATTTAATAATTTTATGAAATTATTGACTTCAGCAGAATATTATGGCATAAATCTGTAGTCATAGTACTGTCTTTCTGGATTCCTAATTCAACTCTAGCTGTGCCCCCAAAAGCTTTTGAAATGGGCAGCAGGATCAGAGCAGTATAGCAGAGGTGAGAAATACTTGCAGTTTGATGCAGATTGAAATGTGCAAAAATACATCCAGATTCATGCTCCTTATTTTGAAGCCTTGAGGGTTTGTTGCCATGCAGCCCTCAGAGGCAACCAAACTAATGAAGAATATTTGCAAAATTTGCCCTGGTGTTTAACTCTGCTGTTCTTCAACCTTAGCTGTAATTTTTACTAAATGGCATTGGACTAGTTATTTATGTTTTAATGTAATATGCATCTTAGATCTGAATGGATAACATGGAGTAACATCTTATATTACGCTCTAAACACCTGGGCAGAAAGGTTGGGTACACAATATAAAAGATTCAGAACTTGAAGATTCTTGAACTCTGTCTGTTGACTTTTGCACATTTAGCACCAAGATCTGAAGGGATATTTGTACACGTGCACTGTCTGTAGGTTGAAAGTTGGTTGGAAGCATGCTTGCCTGCCTCCAACTTCTTGAACTCTGTTGACTTTTGCACATTTAGCATGAAGATCTGAAGGGGTATTTGCATTTGGCTGAACATACTTAGAAGTCACCCCTATGATTAGGAATAGAGATGGGGACAAATTAAAAAATGGCAATTCATTTTGATCTGTTATTCGTTAATGGATCAACGAATACGAATATTCTTTGACAAATCGATGACTCAATCCCTACGAATATTCTTCGACAAATTGATGAATCAGTCCGTTGATTCATCTGCAATTTAAATGGCTATAACACTGGCCCCCAACCACCTAGAGACACCACATTCGCAGGGAAGCTTCATCAGACACTTTTCTATGACTTCTGAAAGCTTGGTGAACATTAGATCATAGACCCCCAAGTTATATAGTCACACAGAGGATCTCCCAGGAAAGCTCCCCCCAGGTAGATCATGGACCCCCAAGTTATATAGTCACACACGGGACCTCCCAGGAAAGCTCCCCCCAGGTACTTAGAGACTCCAGAAACACCACTGAGCTTCCTGTTTCTTTCCCCAACATGCCTGCAAACTGTGGTGAAGATTGGATATCGGACATCTGGGTCATTCACCCACAAATTGGGTCCCCGCGCCCGGAGATTTTACAACACATCATATCAGACAGCTCATTCTGCCTACCAGTCGTGGATCATCTATCAAGCTGATGCCCAGGAGAGTTTACCACACATCACAGAAGCTCATTTTGCCTACCAGTCGTGGATCATCTATCAGAAGCTGATAGGCAGCCGCTGCCCCCCCGACACACAGCCAGCCACCCCAACAGCCTACCCCCACACCCCCTTCCTTTTCCTACCTTAGCCCCCACCCCACTCCCACCGACACCCTCTTACTTTAATAGCTTCTGCTGATGTCTCCATCAGGCCTTCTCAGCCACGGGGTGTAAAACGGGAGACTAGCTGCTCTTTGCAAAGATGGTGGCCGTGGCTTCATTTAGGATAGGGAAGTTGCACCTACCATCTTTGCAAAGGGCAGCCTGGATTCCCTTAAGGCAGGCTAAGGGAATCCAGGCTGCCCTTTGCGAAGATGGCAGCAGCAGCTTCCTTCCCCTAAATGATCTCTAGTCACCATGGCTCTGCTTGGCAGCAGCGATTAAGGTAAGAGGGTGTTGGTGAGGGTGGGGCCTAAGATAGGGAAAGGAAGGAGGTGGGAGGGTAGGCTGTGGCATTGGGTGGCTATGTGGTGTGGTGGCTGCCTTTCTGCTGCTGATCAGGTGATTGACAGCTGGTAGGCAGAATGATTTCTTTTTTGTTTTAATACTTAATACGAAGGATGAATAAAAACGGGTAAATATCCCTTTGTATTCGTGAGGGTCTCTGGAACCCACAAATATGGATCGATGAATATTTAATGAATTGGCTATATTCGTCGGAAAAAGCGATCCGTTTTAATATTTGTTCCCATCTCTGATTAGGAACCATGCATTATCAGGGTTCTTAATTGCAAGAGATAATTCTAAGGGGGTGATCTATCTTCACTTAGAATGAGTGCTATGGCAAAATTTCTTCCATCTTTTCCCCACAACCATTCACATTCAGTTGGACAGAAAATAATTTCCTTTTGAAAACAGTTTCAAACAAGGAGAAAATTCAGAATCCATTATCATGTGCAAGGCTCAATGGTCCTGTGCTTGACTCCACCAACGGGAAGCCCTGAATGCTGAGACATAATGCTGAGACATAAAGAATGAGAAACGGGGCTGAGTTCAATTTTTTTGGAAGATACTTTTCTGCAATATTTCTTTTTCTTACATTCTTAGAAGTAGAAGGTTGCTCAATTGTGCTACACAAGCTGTTGTCCAGGTATTGTTGATAGGCAACATTGAGGTCCCTGCTTTGACTCTTTAGGTTTTATCAGCCAGAATTTTCTATGTGCATTCTGCTTGTGCAAAAATAATCAATTTCAAAAGTTGTTAGATATGCATAATGAGCATGTATTCATAGGGAGGCATCATCCAGTCTCTCCCAGCGCAAGCATAGGCCCTACTCATTTCCATGGGTCAATATCCACTTTATGTAACAGCAACCTGGAGACTGTGCAGAGTATTCTGTTGATGAGGTATTATACTGTGTTGTGTTAAACAGGATGCTGAACTTATTTCTTAAATCCAGGCTTGAACTGGACAGCTCTTGTAAGAAAGGATGCCTATCAGTATATGAGTGTCTTCTGAGAAGAAGGACTTCACATGGACACTCTGGCATTGCAGTATACTGTTGTGTGTGCGGTGAGGATGGAGCGAGGATCTTTGTTCTTTTTCTTTTAATTCAGAGAGAACAGTAAAGTGAGAGACAATATAATGGGACCTATCAGCTATTTAGTTTCAAGGGGAAATTTAAGAAGCATGAAGCTGATGGGTTTTATCTTTGTAAATGTGTATATGTTTGTATGCACACCAGTTATAGAATATAAAGAGTATATTGTGGTCATATGAGGATTTTGCTAAGCTGCATCAGGATATCTTCAGATATAAGTAGAAGTCTGTACTCTCCAACAGATTGAGGATTAGCAACTAAATTTCATTTCCAGTTGCCCAGTGTTTTAGCATAATGTGAACTTGTCAAGTCTTGCTAAATATAAAAGTGGCTGGTAGGTGAAATAACAAGAATGACGTATTAGTCCTTGGAAATGTTACTTATTCAGAATGACCTTGCTTGACTGTATACAGAAGGAAAATGGAGGGACACTCAAGTGAAACAATGTCTCTCTTACTGTTCCATTCACTACCTTTCTGTTTTGAAGAACCAAAATAGTTGTGATTGATAACTGTTACCTGCTACAATGCATATATATTACATCCTGGTATGTACACTGTAGTTACGCAACCCAGCACCTTCAAGCTATTGATGACTATCTGAAGAACACAAAATTGCTCACTTCTGGTTTTAGAGATAAATAGGCCTTCTTAGCATTCACTAGTATAACGTATGGACAAGACTTAGCTCAGTGGTAGATTCTATGTTGCCGCCCAGAGTAGTCGAAACGACTAGATGGGCGGGATAGAAATGTAATAGATAGATAGATAGATAGATATTTTATTTATTATAGATATTATAGATAGATTATTTATTTTTGCGTACAAAAGACCCCAGCATCTCCATCAGGTGGAGGCATCTCCAACTATGGCTGGTAAATAGCCTCTGCATAAATAAATAAATTTATTTATTTATTTTTGCGTACAAAAGAGTCCAGCATCTCCATCAGGTAGAGGCATCTCCAGCTATGGCTGGTAAATAGCCTCTGTCTGAAGCACTGGTGACTTGCAGCCAGTCACTGTAAATGCTAAGAGATCAGAACCAATTGTAAAGGGAAGCTTCATAATCTTCCTTCCACTACTCAGACATTGCCTATATCTGAAATCACGGATATCAGAAGTGGAAAAAATTGGCAGGTGCCAATTTCATTCCCTAGGAACTTTTAATGGACCACACATCTTCTGATTTTTTTGAGAACTATTTAAAAATCTGCATGCAGAAAGTATCCTGTAATCTCCAGATAGGATAGAAAAAATATGCTGAAACACTCTGGAAAGCCACTGTTAGTCAGACTCGGCTAGACTGGACTGGATGGGCCAATGGTCTGACTCAGTAAAGAATAGCTTATCCTGTTTCTAATCTAATGGATACATTTTCAATGATGTCAGTAAAATTTATGACACCAGAGCAGGGCCAGTTGCACATATCCATTGGGAACTCGGTGCAAATCAGTGGCCTTCCCCATGTTCTTGGCCTCTGAAACAAATAATTTATTTGCGTCAGGGCACTGTAGTATGTAGGATTATATTAAAATTTACTTATTAAAAATCCATTAAATGTCACTTAATTTGGTTTTCTTCACATGTTATTACTCCAACAGATAAATGCCCACATTCAGTGACAAAATTGTCCTTAGACCATCCAACTCCACTTTGTAATCATTCAGAGACTGCCACATATTCCATCCAGCGTTACACTCAAGTACTATCTGTTCAGTTGGGTCCATCCATTCGCTAGGGGAATAGTTCTTACTCTCCATAGACATAGTGTGGCGTCTTCTGGTCGAACTTTTAGTGCTGTAGTAGTGTTCAAGCAACTCTTTCTTAGATTTCACTCTTCTCCTTGGAGGTTGGTGCCCACACAAAGAATGATCTGCATTTTGCGCTAGTTTACTTTTTTTTTGTTATTATTTGAATAATAATGCAGAAGGCAGTGATCATTTATGATAGTTCAGGTGGAGCAGATAGCACACCTTCTTCACAGGGCTTGGTTTCAAGCACTTGGTAGTAAGTCAACATGTCTGATTTAGTGCCATATTTACATATTTAGCATATATGGATTAGTACCGCACTGCACAAGCATATTCAGTAGCATCAGAACACAGAGCCAGGGCTGATGTTTGTAGATTTTGAGATGTGTGTGCAAATCTCCCAGTCAGTTTCAGAAAGTTTTCTTAATAGGCTATTCCTGGCAGCCGCTTTATACACAGTGTTTAAGCAACATTTGTATTGCAGCTCCTACAATCTCTCATCACTAGGTACACTGGCTAGGGCTGGTAGGAGTCATCATAACCCAAAGCCATTAGGGGTGTGTGT